AAGTTTTTCTCACAAAATTTCAAAATCCCAGCGACACAAGAGCTGGAGCTGCAACACACCCCTAGCAAACGCGAGACGTTTCATGGATCTGTCACCAGTCTCGGCTCAGTGACATACTGGCATAAATGTTTCTGCGTCTTGTCTTAAACTTCCTTTTTACTTCTGTTTTAGAAAAATGTCTCAAAGGAAGAATAAGTTACAGTGAAAAAATCACAAAACAGCCTAACATCTCAATCATGTTAGAAGGAAAGTTACATTGAAACAGATTTCCTTCTAAACCAAATAGGGCTGTCACTTCTTCAAAAAACTAAAGAGGGACACAGTCTTTGTTTACAACCTGGGAGTCTGCTGGGTTGTTGATTTTGCGGCACCATTTGTAATTTAACACTAGGCAGCAAAAAGCTCCAAAGTTGTGAATGCTATGTTAGCCAATAACAGGAGCGACCCAGAAGTTATTTCTTGCAACTCTTAGGTGCCATGACATCTTTTTATTTTACTCCAATCGGGTAAAAAGTTTAGAGGTTGTGTGAGCAACAAACTAGAAACAGCTACTTTTTCAATTACCAGCAACTCAATAACTGAAATGTTTTTATCTACTTATTAACTTAAACTGTATGACTCGTCTTCACTCATCCTCTAGAACCTTCTGGTGCTGATCCATAAATGGCAACAGCCATAAATCTCACAAACCGAGAGTGAGAGAGTCACTCATTTGTTTTGAAACATGGACTGCAGTACCCAAAACTGACCACAGGGTGTCACCATTCATTCGTACAACATGCACCTTTGAATAATCAGTTTAATGGTGGGAACGCTTGTTTAATCAATACATTTGCTGTGATCTCTAACAGGTATGAATGCCTTGTAAGTTGTACTCGGGGGTGGTGGCAGGCCTGTATCAGCGCAGAGAATTCAGCTGAAGGCGACAGTAGCTTCAAAGGACAGGATTTGAAGTCCTATTTCCTGATATTTAGACATCTTGCCTCTGATTGGATAACAGCAACGCGACTCTACCACTGACTGCTTTGCAACGTTGATGGTTTATCTCCACAAATGATCAAAAACCTGGAGGAGTTCTGCTGTGTGGTGGAGTTGCTAATGCTAATGGTAAGTGAGATGTTCTTTGCTGTTTCCTAGATGTTAAACTAACAACGGTCTTTTCCCATCACGGTTCAAAATGAGTCCATAGATGTTAAGTGACAGTGTGATGTAGATCTGTCAGGCTTTACAAATCCTAGAGTTTCACCATCCATTTTCTATCAGAAGCTAATGCAGGAGATAGGTGCAGGAGACTATTTTCATGCTACACCTGCATGAGAAACTCAGAGTGATCGATTATAATAAAATATTTAAAAGATGTATTTTCAGTGTTCAACATCTTTAAATATATCAAAGATTTCCCTCAACCATCAGAAGACATTTTTACTCTAAAAGAGTCACGGTTGTTCAGATTAACTTTTACTCTTCTGACTAAACCTGCCACAGGAGGATGCTGACAAGATCATGGACCATTTATCATTTAAAATTATTCAATATAAAATTTTTTCATTTATTTTTCTTTTAATTTACTTTGAAATGAATAAAAAATCTAAAGGATTTTATTTAATCCTATTTGACTAATCAGGAAATCAAAAAAGCATTTACTTTTTACGGTTAAGTCTTTGTGCTGATGTGTGAATTATTTATTCTATGAAAAGTTAAAAAACTACACGGTTGTAGTTCTATTTGATGGTTTTTATCTATCATGAACCAAACATTCTGCTTTGCAGCATCAGACGTTACAACAACACAGGACATAAATATGCTTCTCTGTGAAACTAAAGGCTTCATAAAGCCCAGCATCAATTCTCCACCTCCAAAGCCCTGTGGGGTTCGCAAGACCTGGCCCGATGGGCGATTAGCCCGTCTTACATTCCTGGTGATCGGATTAGATGATTCCCACAGTCTAGTCTGAAACTACTCCCGACCCGCAGCTCCGGAGAGCATCTCAATATCCAATTTCACAGCTTTCTAAACCTGGATCACAAAGGCTATTTATTATTGTCAGAGTCTTTGTTATTAAGGGTGGAGGTGGGGGGTGTAGCTCCGGTGCAGCAGCATGGTGACCATCGAGGCCTTTGACCCTAAACAAAAGCACAAACTTCACTCATTTCTCCATCCCTGTTTTGTCCAGGATCATCAACCAGAACATCACACATTAGGTGGGCTCACAAAAAAAAAAAAAAAAAGACTAGTAATTTGGAAATTCTTGGAAAAAAAATGGCTCCATCTGAAGATTTTTCATTACATCTGTAAAATCAGCTGAGAAGATTTGCTTAAAAATAGAGTCCTAGATAATAAACCTTATCCGTGAGGTGGTCTTAACCCCGACCAGAGGCAGTAATTGGTGCCTCCGTTATAGAGGTTTTATAATTTGCCTTGCTTTTTCCTCTCCGAGCCAGAGTTGTTCCTCCGAATTACCTCTGAATGATTTATGCTCACTGGCCTGGCCTCTGATAGACCCTGGCAACATAGATAGAAACACACTTAGGGCTTTTTGGTGTGCAAACACGCTGCCCAAAAAGCCAACTTGTCTCAAACAGTCAAACACATTTGCTGCGACGGGGGTCACTCGGTGTCATTTCACCTGTCAAACACTGCAGTGTCACAGCCAATCAGGGGACACCATGGGCAACACGAGCCATTTAACTCGAGCAAACACAGTGTGTCACGAAGCCCGAGGATGACTTAAGAGCCTGAGCAAACACTGGCGAGGGCCATCGGGCACGAATCAAGGCGGCCTGGCTGAGGACAAGTCACTCTGGTAATGGGTTTGTGATGACTCAAGATCGAGTGGCCATCTGTTTGGTACAGTGGGGGAGGACCACAATTCACAGCACCGATACACAGAATATTAGCTGGTCGTGCAGCGGAGGAGGGAAGGATTTGGCTGGCGGCACAGGATGTAAAGCATATGTCCATAAATGGTGAATATCTTGAAAGCTGAGGGCCTGGTTTCCTGAGCAGGGGCCAGATAACAGGATTTTCATGGTGATTTTCAGACTCAGTGACAGAATGCCTTTAAAAGGTGTAAGACTAGTAATCCTGGAAGTGACCTTCAGACTCCTCACCATGCACCGCCATCCCATCAGAGACTCTCATCTGACCTGGAAAACTCACCACATATTTAAAACACCAAGGCATTTGCATCAGATTTCAATGATGGGAGTTTGAATACAAACCACAGTCATTTGTGTCCGGTCGGTAACCGTGACGTTCATTTGAACAACAGAAGTCAAACCGCAGCCGACAGGGACAAGGTTTCCAAATGAGACCCGCGAGGGAAATATACTGGGACTGGTTTACTAAAAGGTCTTTAGGGTTAGGGTTAAAGACTTTTGTTTTTTAAATAAAATAGGATAAATAGCTAAAATACAAGCTACAAGTGGTCTGAAACAAAAAAAATTTTTATTAAATCTAGAAATCAAATGAAAAAAATATTGAATGATTTAGTTTTTCACCAACAATGTGGCTGGGATTTTAATTTTTCTTTTTGCCCAGCAAAAATGTACATTCAGTTAATTGTGATAAAAATAAGTAAGAAACCATATTCAGTGCATCACAACTATTTTAAATAATTTGATCAAACATAAAACTAGAAATTCAGCGAAAAAAATCACCTGGTGTTCAGAATCAGCTGAGTTTCGTGGTCATCGGTTAATCTGAAACTCAAACGTGGATCCGTGAACGCACCATTGTGTCAAGCGGCATTAAAAATGTGACTTTTTCCCTCTTGGCTTAGTTTTAATCTATATTATGTACAATGTTACCTCATGAAAGTTTTTTAATCAGAACTTATTTTAAAAGGTGAATCTCCTCAAATAAGTATCAACAATTTTAAACCTTACTTATAAAAAGTAAAAATTAGGATTAAGAGGATAGGCTCCCAAAAAAAAAAAAAAAAAAAAAAAAAAAAAGCTAATATTTTGAACTTTTGTCTAAGATTCAATTCTTTTTAAAAGCAGATTTTATTTAAATGAAAAATATTTTGTTGGAACTTTCTGGTAATATTAAAAAATGTCCTAATTTCCCACCACTGAGAATCTTTTTTTAATTAGCTATTATTGCCATTTCTAAACTCTCAGATTAGATGCTGAGGGAAGCAATCAGGTGTTTAAAGTTAAGGCGATTCCCTCGACTACAGACGATCAATAAATAACTCTAAGAGAAGAGACTGTAATGGGGTCGGCTCCTAACCTGCTCTGACAAATTAAGGCAAGTAGTGTTTTTTCATTACTTACACATCCGTTTTCATTTTTCCCATCAGTGGAAGCAATTAAACAATGCTTCCTTAAATTAGTCATTGATTTTTAGTGATAGTGACACTTTCAAGAAGGAAATAATAACTTTAAGGAAGTATTTTCTTTTTTTTCCCCCTCTTAACACCAGTAGTGTTAGAGCACCGGAAACAAAAAGACAGAAACAATTCAACTACATGAAAAAATACTGTCTTAAATTAGGCATTGATTTTTCCTCAGGTGTCATTTAGGTTAAACACTTTGTGGTTTTCTCTCACAACTAAGTAAAAATGGGCAAGAGTCCATAATCTGTTTGGTCTACATGTAAATTTGAGAAGTTAAACTTGTTTTCATATAAAAAAAACTAAAGAAAATTCAGAAGTTTTGGAGAGAATATCTCAGTAAAAATTATTCACGTGACTTATAAAAGCAGTGAAAGCTACAAACAGTAATAACAGAGTCATTCGGTGGTGATTAGTGTAAAAAAATATTTGAAAATGGGGCATAAATTAGGTTTTTGAAACTATTTTATTACAGAATGTTTCTATTTCCAATCCCATTCCGCACACGTTCGCCTCCAGAATACATCCAACCCCCCCGCCACCCCCCCCCCACCCCCCACCCCCACCCCGACAGACCAGACTTGTTTGGATAAAAAAATAAAATAAAAAGAAACAAAAACAACAACAAAATCCAGGAAAGCAGGCTGAAACTGCTGGACACTTTCATTTTTTTTTTTTGGATTTTTCCCCAGACTCAAAAAGAAAATACACTTACAGACTGAAGCAGCAACAAAATGTGCATTTACCTGATTATGCCATGGTACATAACAATTTATTTTAACTCACCACATTATAAAACTTTAAATAATTCCTCTTTTTGTTTGACCAAAAACCAACATATTAATGGCAAAAGCGACAGTAAAAAACAAGCAAACAAAAAAACAAAACAAAACAAAATTTACACTTCATGTTCACCAGGAACTGAACAGAAAAAAGTTCACAAAAAATATAGACGTGTAGTTTTTCTTGACTTTTATTATTTATGCTAGTGAAATCAATTGGTTTTCATCTTGTTTTCTGTTTTAGGAATGCAGATGGTTTCCTGACTTGATCCGTTTCAGCTGTACAATAAACATTCCTCTTATTTGTTGTATAAAAAACTGAACACAAATGAATTTCTGCTGCCGGAGTGTTTTTCAACCTGAAGCTTCCACGATGCTCCTGATCAAACGTGTGATTTGGGATAAAGTCTGGGTCTCCTCCGAACATCCCAGAGCATCCTCGTGAATCAAAGTTGCCTCTTTACCGACCCACGGGTCATTTTTTAGCAGATGAGAGAACGATCCGGTGGAGTCTGTGTTGTTAAAGAGAAAAACACCAACAGGTTGAGATCTACAGTTTGATTGTGTGAGGGTCGGAGAGCACTGATGAACCGATGCTCAGCGTGGAGGTGAGGCTACGTCACATGACACGTTGGTAATCTTAACCGTGAAAGCGATTTTACGCTTTCAGTATTGGATGTCTGTGTGATGGGAAAGCTAAGATTCCTCTGTGGATTGGCTCCAGGTGGGTGGATGAGATGCTTTCTTTTGCAAGAGGTCAAAGTTTGAGGAATTTGGCTTTTTATTGGCCATAAATTAGCTAATGAGTCCTGTCTCATTGGGGTGGCGCATGCTCCAAATGAGACAAATAATAAAAGAAAAAACAAAAAACAAAAAAAAAAAAAAAAACAGATTTCCACAGTAGAAACATAAAGAATAGTAAAACGCCAACCACTCTGACCCTGGTAGGTTTCCACCGTGTTCCTGTCCGTAAAGTGCAACTCTCTGGACGTCAGAAAGACAAGAGCAGAATACAGAATATGTGTGTGTGTGTGTGTTTATGTTGAGTTACGAGGAAGGGAAGTGCCACCGTGTTTGTGTGTTTTCAGTCTTTATCCCAGAGCGACTGTGAATCAGAGGACATGACAGTCTCGGGTGTATGAAGGAGGCTGGACATCACGCTCGAGTGGAGACGGGTATTCGGGGGTGTGTGTTGGTGGAGCTGCCGTTAATAAACATAGCCTTCGCTGTAGGGATGCGGTTGGCAGTAGGGCCCCTCCTGTACATAGGCCATGTTTTCGTCAAAGTGTGACAGCGGCACCGTGTCCTCCTCATTAATCTGACGCTCCACGTCCGTCTTCAGCACCGGCCGCTGATTGTCGGGGAATGCCATGGAGAACAAAGCCTCGGGGTCGCACACAAACTTGTAAACGTATCTCTCACCCGCCACCTGAAAAACATGTTCCATTTTATAAATCATCGCATTGCTCATCATTTGCATTAGAACTATTTTAAAAACAGCACCCATGCCGGGCCAGCAGGTGGTGATGATCTGATTAATCAAAGATTTATATAAGATGAGAAAAGCTTTATTACACATGGTTCATCATTCTTCAAAAACAACCGTAGCCTTGGTTTTAATTTTATTTTCTTACACTTTTTACGTTCTCCTTATTTAGCTTGCCACACAAAGCCAATGTTTACCTCACAACGGGTTCGAGGTAAAACTGGACAAATATAGAAAAATAAATTAAAAAACACAACAGATGTGGAGGTTGTTATGCAAGGCGGTTGTGCAAAATGGATTACAACATCAGGGTTTCCTTGAAGACCAAGTTAACTCGTTTTTCAATACATTTGCAGTGGTCTTTAGTGTAAACATAGATGATCATTATGGGGACAAAGCTCTCTCGCACCTTTTTCAGGAAGTAGAAGTTAGCCAGAGGAGAGTCTAGATGAAAACAGCAGGATTTGGAGTCTTTATTTCCTGGAACTTCAACAGCTTGCCAATGGTTAGCTAATAGCAAAGCAACTCTACCACCGACTCTGTTTGCTTTGCGGTGATTCAGCTCCACAAATAACACAAGCCTGAAGGAGTTCTCCAATGCTGTGGAGCTGCTAATGCTAACAGTTAGCTTCTACAAAGCAAGACATGCTCTGCTCTCTCCTGGACGCTAAATCATCAACAGCCTTCCCATGAGTCCATGAATGCTAATTTAAAGCGTGACGTAGATCTAACAGATTTTTCTGACCCCTTTCCATGAACGTTTCTATGAACTACTGTGATATTTTCACTACTTCAGCCATCGCCCTCTTTTCTGAAAATCTAAAGGATGCGCCAGTTTACTGTAACAGTTCTAAAGATAATCTTATCAGATAATCCTACCTTGTGTGGTGTGTTAAAAGTGTTCAGGTCTGCTTGGAAGCAAGCCAAAACCGCTCCAATCGTAAATCGGCACCTTTGGATTCTTTTGGTCCGATTTTCAGACAAAAACAAGTGTGCCTTGCTTGTTGACTCCAAAGTCATATTTGACTTTGTGAGGTGTCCCATCTGACCAAGGAATGTTCATGAGTGAAAACAGTTCATGTGTAGTGTGCAGTTTTTGATTTTTTTTTAGCACTACACATGTTATCTCATGAAAATCTTGCCATGCAAACCAAGCTATAAACTACTCTAATCTCCAAAGCCTCACAGCAGTATGATACAACATAATGTTCTAAAGCATCGTGGTAACTGTTGTATTGTTTTGGGGTATTCCACATTTCTGGTTGAAAGATTGTGTTTGGCTTTTCTTAAGAGCAGTTTGAGAGGACAGCCTGTTAATCGTTGAGAACATCTCAAAAGCTTCCCTTATTATATAAATGAAACAATATGTTACCTTTTGCATGATTCCCTTCTCGTAGTAGTAGCGCAGCGACCTGCTCAGCTTGTCATAGTTCATCGCTGGCCGGTTCTTCTGTATCCCCCATCGACGCGCCACCTTCATCAGACACAGAACAAACAACACTAGTCTGTCAGTAAACGGCCACACCAACATGAAAACAACCAGACGGACGACACAACTTCCTGGGTTGTAGCAGCTGAAATGTTGAAGAAACATATTAATCTGTATTTTCCTAATGACAGTGATTAGACTGTGTCCAGCCTGAGCAGATCTGACCAGGGATGTATTCATTAGGAGTCTGTCAACACACCCAGCGGAGGAGGCAGCAGATGTTACAGCACCTGTCTAGCAGACCACCCGCCATCCGAACTCGCTGTCCAAACCCACAACCCCACAGTTCTCTCTTCAGAGTTTTTAATTCCCTCAATGATCCCCACTAAAATGATTCTTTCCTCAAACGGTTATCTTTCTGTCCAGGTTCCCGCTGATACGTGACACCTGCCTGCTGTAAAGGCAGAAGGCGTCAGCTCGTGTTTGTGAGCCACGCCACCTGATGGATGAATGGACCCCCCTGTTAGCTGCAGCTGGCCCGTACCTCCAGACACCGTCAGGCTTTGTGGACCATTGCCACCTACTCATTCTACTTCCTCCCACACCCCTTTCCCAAATAGTAACTGAGCCCCAGTCTGTGTAACAACATAGATATTACAGCCGTCAGCACGTACAACAACTCTTTAAGCATGATAATAATATTATTGTTACTATTATTTATTATTATTGCTTGAAAGAATGTGAGTTAGAACATTTTATTTCCTTTTAGGATTATTAGAGTACTTTTGAATTTGAACAAAATTAATAAAATAATGACTAATGTATTGCTTATTTCACTATCTGGGTATTTAAAATATTAGAAAAGACCTTCATCTCTAAACTCTGAGTAAATGTCACCATCAGTTTCATCGGATAAGAAGTCTTAAACCCCAAAAATATTTATTTTATTTGAATGAGTAAAAGATGTTCTGCTGTGATAAAAAACGACAGATTTAAAGATTAAAATGTTAACTTTTAATGTGATTTACAAAACTATAAATCATTTATAAATGTAAACCCACAAGAGTTTTTGTTTATATTTCTTTTTGAAAAGAAATTGAGAATTACTATTATTTAATATTACATATCATTTTTATTACCATATTTTAGGTTATTTTGCCCAAAATTATAATAATAAATAAAATAAATAAAAGTATATTAATAACATATTTATTTTTACATTGGCATTAAAGAATAATGTGCAAAACAGTCAAGACCTATTGCCTATTCTTGTGTGAAACATCACCTGTTCAATTATATACATGTTGGTCCCTGTTTAAAAAAAAAAGAACAACAAAAATATATATTTTTTTTATATTAGGGGTGGGATTCAATAAAAAATGTATCTAGTTGACTAGAGGCTTTGTAAATGATTCATCTTAATTAAGCGCATTTTAATTGCTCAAAGGATTTGGCCCCAAAATCTTTTTTTTTATTTAAATTAATGAGGCAGAGAATCAAAAAATAGACATAAACATTGTTATTGTAAACAAATTTTTCAATTCTTGTTTCTCCTTCGGTTCATTCATAAAAAAATACAGGCCATTTAACTCATTAACTCATTCACTGTTAACCCTCTCCGTTTCAAAATAAGTTTTGATAAAAGGAAGAACAACTAAGTCCTTCAGGGGTACTTCTGAGTTAAAAAATACTCATGAAATACGTATGTGGAGTAACCAGGTAGGTAGGTTTTAACGTTGCAAATCTGCAACGCCTACCTCCAGAGGGTTAACTCATTAACTCGTGTTTTTATTATGTGGGCATCGGAACGAGCCCCCGCACCTTGAGAACAAACATCTCAGCTCTACAGCCGATCTTCATCCGCGTATGTCTCATGTCATGTGACCAGGAAGCAGAAAGTACATATGTTAGGAGATCATTTTAGGCTGCTGCTGTAAAAAAAGCGAGGCGCAAACCGGAAAAGCTTCTGCCGACGCGGGATAACGCGGGAAACGCGTGGATTCTTCGTGATGTAAGAAGTGAGTCTCCTCTTTGTTAGTTTTAGCGTCAACATCATCCTAGCGCGCAACATTATGTGACTCTTAAAAAAAAAAACAGTAAAGACACTCAAAAACGCTGGCAGCGTTTTTTCATAATCCGTTGTCAAATTGTGATCTGCAGAAGCTTTTCTAGTTTGTGCCTCACTTTTTTTCACAGCAGCAGCCCAAAACAATCTCCTAACACATGGAGTTTCTGCTACCTGGTCATGTGACGTGTGACGTACGCGGATGAAGAGCAGCTTTAGAGCCGTGATGTTACTTCTCACGGTGCGAGGGATCGTTACGAGACCCACCCCATTAAAAAATGCAATTGACGACTTTTGTCGTCAATGGCGGCAAGCGGTTGGATTTAAAATGACGACTTTAGTTGTCAATGACAGTAAATGAGTTAAATCTCAAAAAACAGCTAAATATCAATTAGAAATTTTTACTTATTTCAAATTGTTTTTCTTTGGATTAATTTTCTTTTCATAAAAGGTGAAAAAAATATTAAAACTGCACCAACAAAAAACAGAAATCATTGTTTTAATAAATCTGAGTTGTTGTTGAATGGTGGGAGGTGCCTAATTAGGCCAATTTAAGTAACCAATCAGAGAAGAGGGATTGCACATGCTTTAAAATACAAACAGAAGAAAACAAACATTCTGTCAAATATATGAACAAATAACTAAATGTAGTAGTAGTAGATTCTGTGTATTGTTTTTCTGTTGCTGGCATCATGGAGAAGGAAGTGATGCCAACAACAGCGGAATGCTCTGAAGAAGGCTACAGCGTTAGCCGAAATGTCAGCAAAAACAAGGTAAAACAACTCTTGCTGTGTCTGAAAAGAATCAAGTAATGCAGTCGTAGTGGTAGTGTTGAAGAGCCTCTCACCTCTTCTGGCTCGATGAGTTTGAACTCCATGCCGCGGCCAGTCCAGGCTATAAAATGGGAATTGGACGGGTCATCCAGCAGAGCCACGAGGAACTGCCATAGCTGCAGCGAGCCTCTGCGCTGGTATGACGGACCTTCACGGTACAAACCAGCCTCCTGCTTGATGTCACCTTCAGAAGGGAGAACAAGTAAATACTGAGCAATACACATAAACGTCTGCACATGGATCAGTTCTGGTAGCTCTTGGGGATGGCTCACCTTCGACCTTTTCAGGCACCACGCAGGTATCATCGTAGAAATGCCTCGCCACTTTGTCAAACATACAACCTTCAAAATAAAACACAAAAGCACATTCTGATGTAACGGTCTGGAAAAACCAACAAGTGCATCATTCGAATATCCACGTGTCAACGTTGGTACCTTCAGTCCTGTTAGCGTGAGCCAGATAGCCATCTTGTCGTAAGTAGACGGAATGGCAGCTAGGCACTTCTGCTGAAACCCAAGGAAGAATGAGAGTGGGTGTTAGAGGGCCCGAAGGCGACATTAAGATTACCATCTCAGCTATCTGAGAGCACTGTTCGCTCAATGCACCAGCGACTCTGATTAAAAAAAATGCCCCCCAGCGTCGGCTTTGCAATGGCTCCCAGCCGCAGGCAAACGCAATGTATCACGCAGCTAATGCGTGCCGTAAGCATCTCCACTCAGTGGAAACACGGGCCGACATGATGTAAGTTTTTCATAAGAGAGGACATAAAACAATGCTGCCACACACACACACACACACACACACACACACACACACACACACACACACACACAAATCAAATCAGATTAGACCTGTGGGTGACAGAATACTGCTATGGCATGCTAACTACGGCTAAAGCTAACAGGCCACCGTACTATAACAGGAAAACACCATTATTATTAATATTATATTAAATAATTTAATATTTAATAAATTCTTAAATAAATGTGATAAGAGTTCTAGTTTTATTTTAATGCAATTTTATGCCAGTCATAAAAGTCACACACGTTAGCTTTAATTGGAATTATTGGAATTTTAAAGAACTAAAATATCAGTTATTTAAATTAATTCCACCAAATAGAGCATTCTGGATAAATTCAACATTTACTATGTGCTTTTAAATTAGAAATTTAACAATAAAAACTAGTGATAACTTTACATTTATTTAAATGTTGCATATTTATAGAATTATGATACATGTTCACTACTTCTAAGAATAAAAAAACATCAACAATAAGATTAGCATCACATAATTCTGTTGAAAATGCACCCATAAAAATCCACTGATGATTTACAACATTATTCTCACTTCATGAACTCATAATGGCTTTGTGTTAATTCCTGCTAGCAAAAAAGAATCTTCCGTGTGTGTGTGTGTGTGTGTGTGTGTGTGTGTGGGGGGGGGGGGGGGGGGGGGTTGATTCTAAAATCATATATAGTTTTAAAATTAATCAGAAGTAAAAAAAAGAGAATTGGCATTCTGTCCATAAACATTCATTTGAGATCAAATCAAAACCATCCTAAAATAGTATCCATGAAATAAATCAGTATCGGCTCTTGACACCAGAATCTGTGCATTTCTCCGATTTTTTTTAACTTCATTCATGTTTCTGTTCTGTGTAAATAAGATCAAAAACAGCCAAATAGGTTACAAAGTGAATATTCAATAAACACACTGAGCCCCTTCATTTAGGCCCATAAACATTTCTGAGTTTCATCAAAGTAATGGGCTTGCAGAGGAAATAGCTGCTAATGGGATTACCACTCCCCTCCGACAGGCAGGCCTGCTCCAGTCAACAAGCTCAACAGCAAAGGCTCATAAATTCAACCTCAGGCCGGGGACACACTGGCCGCGGAAGCGCCGCGAAGCGCCGCGAAAATGGGACCGCCTTCATTCGGCGCCCTTGTTAAGCTATTCTATAGACCACATGGGCCGCCGAAGCGCCGCGAATCGCCTCGCGCCGGCGCGCGCCGGCGCTCCAGCCCGCGCCGTGCAGCGATCATTTCGGCGTTGGCTCTATTTTTTTCGCGAGCCGCGGGTGAATCGCGTCAATTCTGGCAGGAAGTCAAACGTAGACATAAGAGGCAGGCCGGTAAAGTTAACAAAATAAAGCATTTCAAAATAAAATTCCGCAATAGTCAAATGTGTTCGTAAACAGACACTGCAGAAAAACCACACGAACACGCACACACATACACACACATCGAACTTGTGTGCGTGTGTGACCACGTGAAGGGGGGAGTGGTTTTGGGTGTCTTTTCACCGGAGCAAACAGGACAGAGAGGCAGAATGTCTGAGGCAAGCAGTTAGGATGGATGACTTTAAATTAATTATGGAAGTTGAGAAACACAAGGAGCTGTACGACCCCCGAAAAACATGATTGTTTACGTACCCATGTCGGAAGAAACTGCTAGGATACAGCTGCAGAATTGGAGCGGGTTCCAAGAGATTCAACTGGCAGAAACAACTCATACCATAGGTTCACACACACACGCGCGCGCACGCGCACAAACACTCAAACGTAGGAAAAGAGCTGAGAAAAGGCAGAGAGGAAATGGAGGACACCAAGTGTTTAAAAGAAAAACTACAGCTGAGCCGAGGCGCGCCTCGACTGGGGCGCGTCTGATCTGAACTGAGGAGCGGCGAGCAGCGGCCGAATTTCGTGAGCGATTAACTTCTCGGCGCTTCGCGGCGCTTCCGCGGCCGGTGTGTCCCCGGCGTCATGCTCCAGCTCACATGAACTGTACAATACAGCACAATGCAACCTTTTTCACACTTAAATGAAACTTTTTCTACTCTTTTCTTATTCAGTTCAAATTTTGCTTATTATTGTTTCAGCAATTTAACTCAAGAAAAATATTTTCAATTTTTAGCTTTTGAACAATTCAAAGTAAATGATTCTAGAATCCCAACATCTTTTACGTTTCTACGTTGCGACATCTTTGATGTGAAAAGTAAATTATGTTAAATCACTTGAAGTGCTGGTTACAGGCCAGCCATGGCGTGGTATATACTTAGGGAGTGTTTGGTTGAGAAAAAGGACGTCTTTGCACTGAAACCCTTGTGTTTTTTTCTGGCATTATCCTGTGGTGTTAATTGGCATTTAGGAGCCACGCAGTTGTGAAACTCGGGGAACACTTCCATGAAGCTGAAAAGCGAGAAAACACCAAAATTCACAGTCATCTGGCTGCTGTTTGGCATGAACCAAGAGTCTTAATATTCAGTAAAAGAGATGTGAACAAGGCCCCAGAGTTTTTCTCCATACTGTCGCCAAGGAGCTGCTTTTCCCCCTGAATGGTCTCACACACATACACACACACACACCTCTCCTGGGTTTTCCCTCTGCCGCTTTGAGAATGAACCCAGCCGTCCGGTCAACGTTCATTCATGTCCTGATGTAGCCTCAGGCTCCACAGAGCCTGATGATTAGGTCCCTTTAGTTTCTAACTAAAGTGTAGGAGGGCAGCTTCTGGAATTGTGACCAAGCTAAGCCCCTCCCCTTTTCTATTAGAGTGCCACAGGAAGTGGTGCGTGGCGCAGACACCAGGCCTAACCAGAACCACTGCCCTAATAATGAGCAAACTCAATAAACTCTCGCCCCCTCTCCTCATGTCCTCTCTTGCTCGAGGATGATTAGCCCTGGAGGGGGAGGGGCCTCGCTTCACCTAATGGTCCTAAAAGTGGCGTCTACGAACTTTTAATCTCTCACCTGAGTCGTAGGTGAAGTCCCTCGGCTCCTGCTTGATCATCATGCCGACGGGGAATCCGTGGGGAAGCGGCGCTCCCATCATGGCCGGATGTTCAAAGAGAGGGTCAGGATACTCCTGCTTGAAGCCTTGAGGAGGAAAGGGGATGTTGGGCTCTGACATCTGCCGGTGGTAAATGGGCCGGCTGTCCCGAGCCATCGTCGGCGGGGAGGGAAACGAGTGGCACGGCTCTGAGAGCTGACGTCGAAATCTGGAGCGGACGACAAATTCAGAAGGTTGAGCCTCAAGGAGAGACAGATGCTTGCTTTGTAAAATGTAAAAAAACAAGGAAAATGTTTAAAAACGACATGTTCTTTTTAAATATCCTGTGTAAAACAACCACAAAAAATGTGTAAATGACTGGATCTCTGAAAGAAGTACGCAAATATGCTCAAAAGTAGAGGTTGACCGATCTGGTTTTCTGTTGCCAATACTGATAAATATAGGTCAGGGTCAGCCAATGGCCAAAATCTACACATTTTCCACCTTATCCGTGCGCTAAAAAGTCCCCGATAACGACTGATCTACAAAATCTCTGAAGCTGAACGGGTAAATCGTAATTTTGTGCACTGCTCGGTGTTAAAATCAGACATCTGACTAAAGTTAATCAAATCAGTTAACTGGCCAAGTACTAAACATTCAAAACTAGTAAATAAAAAGAAATTTAGAGCCGATGCCGATATATAAAAAGTAAATACCGGCCTGATATACTGGCCGACCGATACATCGGTCTACCACTACTTTTTAAGTTATTAGGCTAAAGCATTTTAAAAGGGCCCTTTTTAAAATGACATACAGCCACAAACCAAACCAAAACACAATGCTGGGAATCGATCAGATTATTTACTCTTTTCTACTGTAAATAAAACTGAGTTAAAGAAAAGCTGCTTTAAAAGTCTGTAAATGTGGAAGTGACGGGTTTTAGCACCTGTGGTCCAGAGAGTAGGCGTCGTCGGGGAGGGGCTGCGAGGGCGGCGGTATGTGGGCATACGTCCGGTCCGGTTTGGGTGTCGGGGCGACCGTGGGGGAGCCATGGTGAAGGGGGGACACGGGGGTACTACAGGGGGGAGTCACTGGGCTGGAGGGCTTCATTCCTGCAGGCTGCTTCTGCTCATAGGCACTGCAGAAATGAGCAGAAACAAATCAGACATGGCTGCTGCCGATCATTATATGTGTATATATATATATATATATATATATATATATATATATATATATATATATATATATATATATATATATATATATATATATGTATAGCAAAAAAGTCTCACAAACATTTAAGAATTAATATTTTTTCATATGTTTTTTACATGTATATGTTAATATCTTCATCTGTCCTAACCATTTCTCTTTGGCACAGATGTGTTTAATTTTGTTACTAAAGGAATTAACTACGGAGTCAGATCTGATTTACCCGTCCCTACCCTGCACTGCTTTTTCTTTGTGTTCCCCTTTAAATTCACCTGCTCCTTTGGGATTAGTAGAACCTCAATTTTATGTAAACAATCTGTAGTTCAACAGGGACCCCCCCCCCCCCCCCCCCTTTTTTTTAATTTAAAATGTTGAATATTAAGTCTACCGGAGAAAGAACTAAATAAAAAGTGGTTGAGGATGTAGGATCTCAGGAGTGGATGAGGTGTGCAATGATATTTTGATTTAAAGCATTTGAAATATTAAATGTATCTGTCCTGGTTTTCTGTTTTCAGGTGAGAACACAGCACTGATCTGATTAATAGATCATAACGGACTAGAACTGAACAGCATTTTGGTCGTAAAGGCTTCATTTTTCATTTAAATAAAAACAAAGAAGCATTTACTATGATTTACTGTTTATGTGCCAGAGAACTCAAATGAAGCTACTGTATCTGCAGAAAAAAGCTTGATGCACTTTAATTAAAGGTGTTTTTGTTTTTTGCCGTTGGTAGACAGGTGTGCGAGCGTTGCTACCTGATGCTGTACGGACACTTCTCTCCATACTGGAGTTTGAAGGGCCGCTCCTGGCTGCAGTTGGAGCTCAGCTCTGAACACGGACTGTGCAGCTCCCTCTTGATCTTCAGCTGCAGTCCGTGGAACGCCACTACAGAGGAAAAGGAAGAAAAAACACACACGCAGATGGTATTGTGAGGCCTTTTATACATTTAATGAAGCTTCTTCTAGCAGGCTCAAGTTTGATCAGTAGATATAAATCGCTGTTGGATTTATTCCTCAGCATCCGTGTTTAGTAAATCTGGCATCTCGGACCGCCGCTCACACAAACAACTCACTTCAAATCTCGTTTTGTCCTGGTGGGGCCTCTGTTAGTGAAATATCACAATCATAAAACTGGGTGTGCACTGAGATCCTATAAATGCTTTATCTGCTTTCAGCTGGCTGTCAATACGCCCCAGACAACAACAACAGGGCTCATTGATCTGGAGGAGGGAATTGGGGGGATTCTGCCTATGGCCCCATGGTGAGCCCGGTGCATCTGAGAGGCTGTTAAGTGCCTGATCAGTCCTGATTAACATCCCATCATCTTGAGTCATGATCAACGCTAATCCAATTGGCTGCGCCTCTGACGAAGACCCAGTCAGTCAGAATGAAGTCAGCCTCAGGGTTCCTCGCTGATCGCCGTCTCACCGCAGAGGCGGCAGCTCACAAAGCAGCAGCGAAGCCTTCCCACGGCGCTCCATCAGACACCGGAGAGGACCAGCTGACCCAGACTGAGATACGGACACCCATTCTTGAGTTCAAAACAAAACAGGGACTCCATGTCCAAATAAAACATTTCCTTAAAACACAGGAAGGTTTCCAGTTTTTTTTCCCCTCACAGCTGACTGACAGCTGCTGTCTGAGCAGGGGTTGATCTGTCAACACTCCATGTGACGTAGAGCCGAGCCCCTGGGGGCCGAGCCTCGCGGGCCCACCAGGACAGGGCTTAGGGTTTGTTCGCAGCCCTTGCTGGGGGCCCTGACCTTTCCAGGTCATCGATCGCAGGTCAAAAAGACACTCCCTGAGGGGAGACCTTTGACGGTGCCGGCTCTATAAAGCCATGTTTTAGAGCTTATGGAGACAAAACAACGTTTTATCGTCGCCTGTCAAGATTAAAATCAGTGTAACCCCAATAAAATCAACACAGGAATTTATTCTTCCTGTGCTCTACACCAAAGGCGAGGTCATCGACCTTTTGTTCAGAGGCCAAATTATAATTTAAAAGTTTTGCATTTACAGAGTGAAAATCAAGCGTCTGCGTTTTTCTGGTTGTGAGCGAGTCCAGGAAAATCCAGTCCTGCCTCTAACAACAGCTTCATGCGTGCAGCAGCTCAGGGTCTTAAATTAGAAATGGAAATGTCACAATAGATTTTGTCAATGGGGTGCCAAGGTACACAAATCAATAGTCAGGGCATCGCCTCTGACTAAAACAGAGACTTCCTTTTTAGTCCAGAATGTCATTCCCATCACTGCTTGATTGCTCTCATTATCTACATATTGATTAATCAACCTGCTTGGCTGTTTAGAGGCAAATGCAGTTACACCAATTACCAACTTCTTATTTCAATACAAACGTTTTTATTCTGATATTGACTTCAACGTTGGGATTTGCTACGCTGATTAAATAGAATGTTTGTGTTAAATATGTGGTAAAAATGCCACTTTCCTTTCGTCGTTCACGCAAATATAATTCATAACATTTCTAAGAATCTCGTTTTAGACGCAATCTTTTTCCAAAGAGATGTTGGCCCAAACCGGGATTTTGGCAGAACTAGAGCCCACGTTTGGCAGATATTTCTCCAGTCCATTCATAAAAAAGTACAGGTCTTTTGGCAACAGCGAAAAACCTTCCATTCCATTTTCACCTACTGTAGGTGCTCGCCTTTCCTGTTAAATGATGGAAGCTCAGATCTGCTGGTAACGTGTGGCCTCATTTTACACCTCCTCTACTCCTTCATTCCCTGCTAAGTTATGCTAATGGTAAGCATCTGTGTTGGAGTTTGAAACAAAGAAACGTCTCCTTCTTCCCCTTCAGCCTCATGACACTTTTGTTTCACATGCTGGTTCTGTGGTGGAGGGTTGACATTGAGAGAGTAAAGAAAGGAAACTGTTGAAGGGTCATGACATTTAAACTAATATTCGTTTAGAGCTCCTTCAGTGGCAGACTGAGTCATCCCAGATGTAAAACACAATGCTACCATAGGTTATACATCCCCTCTGCAGTAAGAGTGTATAAATACGTAGTTAAACTGGTACTAGCATTATCCTACTACACAATAACAATCTTCCATATGTGTTCAATACTTGTACAATTCTGGATGTACATTAGAATATCTGTATCCCTTATGCTGCATAGTTCTGGAAACTAGGAATGCACGATACCAATGCTGATACTGGTATCGGTATTGGTATCAGTACCAGTATTGGTATAAAGTTAACCAATACCAATGCAGTTGCCTGAAAGTGGCCTCACTGTAACTTGTCATTTCTATTTGCCTAATATTTTAGTTTTGTGATCATTTCTATTAATATATTTTATTTTTCTTATCTACCTCACAGTCTTTTCCTGTTGAAAGCAGAGAAGAAAATAAAACCTGTACTCCAATTCATTGCATTTTTTTGTGTGGTAGAAATATCGGTATCGGTGAGTACTCAGATCCAAGTATCCGTATCGTATCAGTTTGGGGAAAAGTGGTATCGATGCATCCCTACTGGAAACACAACTTTCTTTTTATTCATTGTTTTAAGTGGTTGAAGGTTACAATAATAGCTCATTGCCTTTGAGTTTTACCTGTAACCTTGGGATCAATAAAATCTATTCTATTTTATTCCATTTGAATAAAAAAAACCGAAAATGTGTTTTAAAAAGTTTTAAAAGCATTTACTAAAATATTCCTTTCTTTCATTTGTGCCTAAACAATGTAAAAACACAAAAATATGAAATAAACATTTCTTGAACTGAATGTTTACCTTCCGTGAATTTCAATCAGAATTTAAAATAAAATAAATCCAGTGATTTGCTTCTGCTGATGATATTTCTGCTAATGCTAATAATATGCTAATAGCTAGGGATGCACACCAAATTAGCCTTTACATCGGTATCGGCCGATAATTTCATCAGTTTTAACATGAAAGGTCACAAGTAAAAGAACGCTGACGTCAACAACTGTGACGGCTACCAGCCTGGCCATTGGGATGCAGGAGCCAGGATCACCCAGCCCTGGTGATCAGCCTGACCCCCCCCCCCCCCCCCCCCCCCCCCTCTCTTCCAGGCTGCTGAGGAGCACATTGAGCTGAATCCTGCTGATGACCCACACCTGGGATAAAAAGGCTGAGCCTTCAGCTGTCTGGGAGGCAGCAGTGCAGGGGTTCTGCCGTCCTCCAGGCCTCATTTTGTTCTCAACCCCTTTGAGTAGAAAAGTTTTAACTCTTTATAGTTTTAACTCTGAGTGATCCAGAGGGATCGTTTTAAAGGTTAACTCTGTGATACAATTTTATTGACTTTGGTTTTAAAACACCTTCTGTTCCGGTAAAACTTTTAACGTAAGTTTTAACCAGGTGTTTTTAATGTTGGTAACTGCTCTTTTAATGTTAACCTTTTGTTCTTTTGTTTTGCGTAATCTTATTACTGCTCGCCATCTGTTTGCACTTGTTTTTAGAACCTTATGTAACAATTAAAACCATTTTAACTCCACTGTCGCATTTCTTATGCCACCCCCTCCTTCACATTTTAACATCTCCTGTCGGGGACGTAACAACAACCAATATTTCTATCTATCTAACTTACTTCATCAAGTAGGGGAGGGAGCTGGCTTGTTTGGTCATGTGACAATGACAGTATCTGAAGCGTGCGTGTGTAAATACCTGTTAATATTGTTACTGGCACAATTTTCCAGTGCATTCTTACTAATATCGTAGCAAAATAGCTAGCTAGTTAGCTAAATGTTGTACAACTACAACAAGAGAATACTTTATCAGCTAAGTAAATAGTTTTATTTTAGGGGGGAATTTGAAACATCAGCCGTTAGTTAATTCCTTATTTGGTATTTTACTTTTACAGTTTACTAAAAACTGCAAACATATTTTGAGCTTACGAGCTAAAATAGACGTAATGCATTGGATTGCTTTTTCCTTCTTAAATCTTTAAGGCCAAATAATTACTACGTAGTGCATTTTTTTAGGTTTTAGAAAGACGCAGAGTTGACTTTGTAATGGAGAAAGTGCCATTTAAGCCTAATGAAGAGTCCGCATGTTCATCAACAGTTGAGACCACTGATGTGTGGGTGTGAGCTCACGAATGCAAAACTGTTCTCTTTACAGTAAAGTTGACATCAAAACTGCTCCGTCAGGATAATGGCACTAATTTATTTAAGCTCCAGAGTCGTTTTGTTTCGCGGCAGGCCTCTCAGCCTCCTCCTTTTTCTTTTCCCTCCACCTCGCCGACTGGAGCTCCGTCCCTCGGACCGGTGAAACCCATATGGGAGAAGTGCCGGCTGGGATGCCTGCTCAAGCGCCCAACCACAGTGCCCTCACCCTCCTGCCATCTGTTAGTGCCCCTCCAGTCTGCTGCAGGTTTGCCAACAGGACAATTCAGATGGTCAGCAGTCTCCTGCCATCATGGCCACCCACCCTGGCTACCTCTGAAGGACACCGGGACAGTCTTGGTGACCTCTGGTTCTGTAACTGCACCGAACACCACAATGCTCCCCCACTATAAAATTTACAGCAGGCCAAATAAGAACCTCTGATTTGGATTTTCGAAGCACTCACATGGCCGTGAGCTTGCCTGTACAAAGAGTTAAAATATGATCAAGTACTTAATCGATCCAGTTGAAACTACTTTTTCTCTAGAAATCATAAAACAATGTTTGAGCAAATCACTAGAGAACCTTTGGTGAGGGTGATTGGCGTTTGATTCCTCCACTTTAAACTTAGTTTGACCTATAAAATAAATCTAAGCTGAAATTATGACATTTTAACATTAAAATTTTTTTACTAGGTTAAAGGGCGTTGAGGGCACAGAGAAGTCGAAGGCCCTCGGACACACACTTTTTGTGTTTTTTTTCTCACAGTTTAATGTTGCATTTTGGCTCATCTAAAAGACATGTGCTCGCTCTGAGTCCCACTGAGCTCCACTCACTCAATTTCTGTCCACACCTTGGCACTACTTCCTCCAGAGATGGACCATGCCAAGTCACCAGTCACCATGGGCAATCACAACCAGGTGATGTACAATCCTACGCTCTTTGTTGTGTGTGAGACGCCGGCTCTGGTTGGACTTAATAAATCCTTCTACAACATTTTAAATGTAAAATTAGAAACTGTTTAAAACGGTGAAGCCAGATGGCGTGAACAGGAGAGAGAGAGGGGGAGTGTGCGAGGCTAGATGACCTCAGCTAAAAAAGACAAATGTAGCAACTAATTTTACTCTGCCTGATTTGAGAAATGCTATCACGCGGCATGGTTTACACACACACACACACACACACACACACACACACACACACACACACACACACACACACACACACACACACACACACACACACACCTCTTTGAGCGAAGGTTACAAATGGAGCCTCAAAATAAACGGTTTAAAAAACTTAAAAGCAGTTTGAACCACTTGGAGTTATAAATACCACCTTAAAAGATTCTGCCTCAACATTTTATTTTTATGTTTTCTTATGCAAATCGCAAAAGTCACAGCGCAGAAATGTTGGAGCTGCAGAGAGAAATTCATGAGCAAACAGATTCAGAATTAACCCCCCACCCCACCGCTCATGCACCTGCAGGACTGATGCAGGTCTCCGGTGGATAATAGTACAAAGCAAACGTGAACACACACACACACACACACACACACACACACACACACACACACACACACACACACACACACACACACACACACACACACACAAACACGGTCTCCTACTTACAGTTTTCTGTCTGGAAGTCTGGGACAAACTGCTCGTCATTGTCGGGAACTTGAGCTGAAGACAAAAGAAGAGACGCAGTGATTGTTTCTGATGTCGATGGACGACGCGGTTCAGGTCCAAGATCTCAGAGACCATCTGAGTCCAGGTTCTCATTCTGAGCTCAGTGCCTCTAATCTCAGATTTACATGTTAAAACAGCGATTGCTTTATTAGATTTTACTTTCTGTGTATATTGTGAAATGTTGTTGCTGTTACATATATGTATATGTATATATATATATATATATATATATATATATATATATATATATATATATATATATATATATATATATATATATATATATATATATATATATATGTATGTATATATATATATATATATATAAGTAATGGGGCTAAATAAATAAATACATATTTTTTTCTTAAATCTTGAAGTTTTTAGTTTTACTTCATAATATAAACAAGGACTTTTTTGGATCAGTAAATGGGCTCAAATATTTTTGACATTGTTTTCCTTCATAAGCAGTTTTGGGTCAGTTTGTTAGTTAAACCATTAAAACTGATAAATTCATTGTTTTTATAAACTATCTCTTCTTGTTCTGTTGAGTATTAAATCAAATTTATGACTGAAAAATCTGAAAAAATGTTTAACAAAATAAATAAAAGTAAAAATCTGACAAAATTAACACAATAATAATAATAATAATAATAATAATAATAATAATAATAATAATATAATACACATTTTCTATGTTTTTTTTTTTTGCTTTTTTCTTTCTGATTTTAAACAGCAGTTTCCATCAAAGCCTTGCATGTGGATTTAATACTTTACTTTTTGTATTCTTCTACTTCCTAAATCACCTTTCCTGAGGTCGCCTCGCCCATTGACGGCTCGGCAGCCTCGGCTCGTGCTCTTTGCCAGCAGCCGATCACCCATTGTTAACAGTATCTAATTGGCTTCTTCCCTACTGCTGAATCCACCTGTACCTGCCGAGTTAGGTCTGTTCCAAACCGCCCAGTGTTTCACCTGCGCCTCAAACGCCCCTGCGCCCAGGCTAATGCTAAAATAATGAAGCTCGCGCCACTCCAGCTCCAATTAGGCGTGCACGTATTTATATCCAACATATTTACACTCTGTGACACTTCTCCACGTCCCTGAAGTTTGACTCTCTCTGGCAAAAAGCAAAAAAGAGATTTAAATGTGTCATTAGCACGTCTATTTATACACACCGAGAGGTGAGTCCTCATTATCACAAGAGCAGCAGCTTGCCCTGACACGTCGACAGATCAGTTAAATAAAAAAAAACTAAAGAATTTACCACTTTTTTCTCTCTTTTGGTGGTCAGGAGTTGACTTATTTATTTGTTTTCTCTCGCCAGAGGTGTCAATTAGGAAGAGTCAACAATTTACAGATGAGGAGGAGAAACCAGGCCATCTTTTCCTAAAATGTGTATGAGCAAAGAAAAATATTTCTACTCAAGATTCAGATTTTGCTTTGAAACCTGTGCTCCTCAAACGTATGAATTAAATATTTTGGTGTTGCTAAAATATGAAGTGATCTAATTTAATCAGCTGGAATTGGGCTGTTGTCCCAGAGAAGGAACTGAATTAAAAATACTAGAAAAAATAAGGAGAACAATACATTTTTACAGAAACAAGCAACACGCTGGTTTAAAAAATGATTCGTAAAAGGAGAAATAGAATTGGTGATTAAAAAAAAAAGAGGGTCAGCAGTGTCTCAGTGTCCAAAAGGAAGTCCGGGACAGGTGAGTCACCGGCCTCAGACTGTGAATGAGCCAGCTGATCTCTGCCACAAACGCCTGGGGGGGAACGGCAGAGCTGGAAATCTGTCGCCATTCACAAAACAAAACAAAAAAAAGATGGAAAAATAAAGAAGAGAAAGGATGGAGGACAAGATGAAAAAGTTGTAAAAGTAGTAAAAAAATAAGGCAGAAACTTGAGATATTTCGAGTTGTAACTCTACAACAGCAAACCCTTTCAAAACAAAAGATTTATTTTATCAGCTGGATGTGTTTCAGGGGCGTTGAAGCATGAGCCGAGCTGCTCGGTGGACCAACGGTTGTCAAACCTTCAGCCTCTTGTCCTCACAGACGGAAATTCAGTCTGTCGCTCATGATTCCTCTTCTTATTCCAATTACCTGAACTAATAAATCTCACAAATGGGAAGGTATTCCTTTTCACCTTAATGGACAGGAAGTCATTTATTAAACCCACAAATCCTGAATCGTAAATCATCACATTGATCCACGACAGGCAGAACTGTAATCTTTAACAGTAATACCTCGTCACCGGCCACCGTCTCTTCTCTCACTTTAGAGACTGAAATATTAAAAATACATCTTATTCTTTCTCGCGTGGCGTGCTGCGCCGCCAGACACCCAATTCCACCTCGCTGCGGCTGAATATTCTCATTTCTGAGTCAAACACTTCTCATTCTTTAAAACGTCTCAGATTTGACGGCAAACGTTTCCAAACTGGTTCAGGAAGAGACAGAGGACGTAAATGGCCGAGTCCCTTTTAGTCTTGAGAGGAATTACTCACTTTTAGTGGATTTATTACAACTCAGTGGGTTCAAAAGCTACCAAAGTTAGTTCAGTTACGTTTGGGATTAGATCAAAATGTTCACACTGTTTAGAAATGATCAGTTTTGAGGTGCGGACTGTTTTAATATTGAATGAAAACTAAAAAAAATTACTAATTATATTACTGCCATGCAATAACAAAGCCAGAAATCTTCTGACCGTTTAGAGTTTTATACATTTTACTTTTTGTAAATTTTAAATTCAACGATTTTAAAAATAAATCAAAGCAAAATTGGCTCCGATTTGATTTGTTCCTAGGGTTTTAATAATCAAACCTTGAAATAAAGTTTTTGTACAACTTTAAATCTATTCTTAGAACCATTTAACTAGAGAAAAAATCTAAAACGACCAGAAAAATGACACGAATTTTTAACTTTTAACTATAAAATTCAGCTGGATTCTAAAACTTTCACATCCCAATCATTTGGTAAAAGAAGCAGGAGAAAGGTGAGAGCTGAGCATGCACACGTGCACATAAAAATACAAAGATGAAGAGTTTTTGTTCCCACTAACCAAAAGTTCGGTGCTGCAGACACGTTGGGAAGAGGACGCCTGCACTTAAATCCTGAAGCATCCCGTCTCAGTTAGACCACAAAGACCAAGTCTTGCCATTAGAAAAGAAAATGAAAAAAGCTGAAAAATGGATGGAATACAAAAAAAAAAAGAATTAAAAAGATCTCTCTGAGAGACTTTCTCTGGTGTTTCGGAAGTTTCTGATGAAAAAAAAAAGAATGATTATAGATCCATGTCCTTCTTATCTTTTTAGCCGCCAAGAAATGAAATTCAAGAAGACAAGGTGATGGTACAGTACAGCTGTAGGAGATAAAGAGACGAGTGCTAAGAGGGAGCAATGGAAGAGGGGGAGGGCGGATGAGAAGAGGTGGTGGTGGGGGTGTGTGAGAGAGAAAGGAAGAGTTGGTGGGCTGCAGCAGAGCTCCGGTGAAGGCAGAGAGGCGGCTGGCGTGCAGCACGTTGGCTGCTGCCAAAAGCAGGAGAGACAGTGAGCGTCGGAGAGCCTTCTCCTGGTAATTTGTGATGACACTCTCTGGGTAGAGCCTCCTCGGTCTCCCTCAAGACCCCCTCGCTCACAGTCTCTAATGTATGCATGACACACAAGGTGCCTCTTCCACACAGGCTTTTAATTGGACTGCAACGCGAGGCATGTAACTCCAGGCAGCCCCCCCCCCCCCCCCCCCCCCCCCAATCACAACCTCTCCATTTCCTTTTTAACCATCTCCGTTTGTTTTTGCTTGAGATTTGAAACACTCACCTTCTGCCAGCCAAGTTTCCTGCAGCTGACTGAGGTCCTGGAAGAGCTCTAAGGGGGGACGCAACAAAAGATAAGGTTAGAAAACTGAGTCAAAGCCCAGGAGAAGCATCAGGACCAGATCACTTCATTAAGACCAGCTTATGTGCCACTGAAGCTCAGTGTGTGCAGTTAATAACAAGTCAATTTGTGTCTCTGACCACTGGCGCAGGCTTGTAAGAAGCATCACAGGCCGCTGCGCTGTAATTGAGATTCTGTAGTTAGCAGCACAGGTGGCCACAAGCCAATTGAATTTTGCTAAATGTTTAGAAGCCGTGAAATTAACTTCTCCCTCCGTCCTGCGCCTACCTTCAGTGTCCAAGGCCAGGTCAGACTTAATGAATTTTCTTTTTCTGTCACTTGTTGGGCTCTTGTAGCTTGCAGTGTTTATTTGCAGGTTCTGCAAAAGGAAAAGAAAAAAAAAGGGATTGTTTGTCTCATCGCTGCACATGTGCAACTAAAACAGCCACAATGGGTCATTCACTGAAGCTCCACTTCCTTTGCTCTAAGTCTCAGTCCTGCAGAGGATACTGTGACCGTGCATGTAACAGGCTAATTCATGCAGCTGCCACCTTGTTTGGCTGTTTATCTGTGATGATGGTGGATTCATTCAGGGTTAAATTGAAATTTGCAGACAAAAGAAAAAAACAAACATATAGTTGTGTGAGATTGTGTTAAATATTTAGTGTTTTTAAGCCACGAAGGTTGCTGGGAAACGTCACTTTTGTTCATACTTTACTCTGATTACTCACTTTGGAGTTGCAGTAAGGCACTCGCTGGTCGTGATGTCCATCCATGTTTCCTCCCTGTCCCGTTTCCTGTTCAAATCTAGACAAAACAGAGACATAAGAGGTGAGTTTAACATTTTTAAAAGCTCCCAAGAACGGCGCATACACCTGCGCAAATGATGCAAAGTTGTCAATCAGATGCGTAAACAATGCGCTCACGAGCTAAAAGGCGCACCGTGATTCTCCGCGCTTCTGGAAACTTCAGCAGCGGGAGAAGTGAGTAAACCCACGTGCACCTACCTCACGTCTTCCAACCGGTTCCCCTGTGCGCTCAGAGCTGCTGCAGGACGCTCACAGAGCCCCGGCTGCAGCCTGCGCTTCTTCCCGCTCGGTGTTGCTTCCTAGCGGCTTGGCATCGCCTCCAGGGGCCTCCCATGGAAACAAGCCGCACTCCGCTTCCTTATTGGTTGTCAATGCCTTTCGCTGGATCTTGTTTGCTGGCAGTCAATCACAGCCAGATGCAGGCGGTGTGCACGCGCGCACGCAGCACCTCGCGCTCTTCTGTAAGTTATTAGTAAAAACTAAACTTTTCATCAGCCCCAGTGGAATTTTATGCTAGTTAGTTTAAAATACACACCGCACCTGCACGCCTTCTCTCTCTCTCTCTCTCTCTCTCTCTCTCTCTCTCTCTCTCTCTCTCTCTCTCTCTCTCTCTCTCTCTCTCTCTCTCTCTCTCTCTCTCTCTCACACACACACACACACACACACACACACACACACACACACACACACACACACACACCGTCCTGTCTTCTTCTCCCCCCTCTTCCTCTTTACATACAGTGGACACACAAACACGCCTCACTCCTCTCCCGGTCAAGTTGGTGACCATGGTAACGGCTTGCCCCATTGCCAGCTCTTCCCTCTCCTTTAAAGGGAAACATTGTTAAGCAGCAGACCTGCAGACATAGGCGTCATTTTAACCGGGGACGCCGGGGACATGTCCCCGGCAAAATTTGTGATTGGCAGCTGTGTCCCCCCACTTTCAAAAACGCCTGCTGATGAGGATTTTTGTTTTACCAGCTCAGATCTTATCCAGGGGTCGGCACCCTGTTCCCATCAAAGAACCATTATTACCCGTTTGTTTCCCACGGTAATTTTGGACGGACCTTAATAAGCAGTGACTTACGTGAAGCAGGCAGGTCGCGCTAGAAAATTTCGTTTAAAAAGACGTCATAAATGTGTTCCCCCGTCATTTTTATTTCTAAAATATGAAGTAAAAACTCACAATTTAATTTTCATTCATTTGTCATTAATATGTAGTCTACACCCGTGCGTTAAGTGGACCATCTTCCAGTAAACGCACAGCATCCAGTCCACCTCTCCAAATGCGTAAAATGTGCATCAGCCGCTAGTTAGGCGCGCGCGCACCATCAGCTGATCAGCCCAGACAAGAGCAGAGCGACTAGAGAAAGACTAGAGGATAATTGTGTCTGGATGTGGATGGAGATTACATTTTACAGCAGCCTGATCATCATTTAAATACGTAAACCATCACCTGTCTTCTAGTCCACGCTATCAGCATTATTTTATATTTTAATTGGTGTGTGTGTGTGTTTTCCACTTCAAACACTGGTCTAACCAACCAGACCAGCGTGTCCAGTAACACATTAATGTTACAATTAAACAGTTTCCCTTCATGTAGGCTAGGAACGTTTCATCTGCCGTGGCCCGACCGCTTCTGCTCCACATGAACTTTGTGCGTGATCAAATGTCTCTACGCTTCATGCGGAAGACGGGAACAAGCGCTGTTCAGCCAAAGTTTCATAATTTCATAAAAAGAACATTTTCCAAGTGACACATCCCTCAGAGAGACCGGGTTTCCAGAACGCTTCAGTGGGAGGAAATCATCGCATGCGCGTGGTTCTGCACTGCGAACCCCAGATCTTCAGCTCACTGTCCACCGGGGGCGCTCCGAGCCGCGCTGAACACAGTGTCCAGTATAAAGAGCTCTGATGTTCTGATGGGAATATTTTACCTCCGCGTGTGCGTTAACGATTAAAATGTCAGCTCATCCATGAGCATCCGTGTGCGTTGGGGTAATTTTTTCAAACCAAGCAACATCCTTGAGTTCATCTGTCAAAATAAACAGTCAAATGGAAATATCTGAAACCTGCCGTTTAACTGTTTTGCCTTCATGTGAAGATTGTTGCAAAGAGAAACAATTAAACTTGATTAACCCCAGAGCCACCCAGAGAACCAGTGCGCATGCGGGAAGATTCCTCCCACTGAAGCAAGTGTTTTCCAAACCCTGTCTCTCAGAGAGACTTGTCACTTAGAAAATGTTCCCTGATTATGAAACTTTGGCTGAATAGTGCTTGTTCCTGGCTCCAATGTGGCGACACATCCAGGAGCCGTCTGAGGAGAAGCCCAGAATCTCACATCCTCTTCAGCTCATAAAGTGCCCATATGATTACGCACAAGCGTGACCGGTCAACCACCGCAGACCGGGTTGGACCTGTTCAGGTTTACGCAGACAATCTACATTTAGAATTGGCATACAGGTGTAAAATTAATGCAGTAAAATATAAAGCATTTTATTTAAATATCCATTTATTATTTTACAAGCACAGAGAGTTGCATCAGATGGATGGAAGAGCCGCATGCGGCTCCAGAGCCGCGGATTGTCGACCCCTGTGCTAGCCTACTTTATTGTCCCCAGCAATTTTTAAACCCCACTCAAGTGTATGGTTATTGTCCCCAGCAATTCTGAAAACAAACTGACACCCTTGCCTGCAGAAGGCACTGACCTGCAGTAACCCATGTCAGCAACTCAAACCGCCTCCAAGCAGCTCATCACTGCTAACCAAATCCACATTAAAGGGGATGAGAAAGTCCAAATCTGAAGACGGGATGCGTTCGTGTGGTGTGAAAATCGCTAGAGTCAGAAGTTCCAAAACCCCTTAGATACTTAGACATTGACTCTAGACTTTACAGGTGCTGGCCAGTAAATTAGAATATCATCAAAAGGTTGAAAATATTTCAGTAATTCCATTCAAAACGTGAAACTTGTACATTATATTCATGCAATGCACACAGACCAATGTATTTCCGATGTTTATTACGTTTAATTTTGATATTTATAGGTGACAACCAATGAAAACATCAAATCTGGTATCTCAGAAAATTAGAATATTCTAAAGGCCAATGAAAAAATGTTTGTTTCTCTAATGTTGGCCAACTGAAAAGAATGAACATGAAAAGAATGTGCATGTATAGCACTCAATACTTAGTCGGGGCTCCTTTTGCCTCAATAACTGCAGTAATGCGGCGTGGCATGGACTCGATCAGTCTGTGGCACTGCTCAGGTGTTATGAGAGCCCAGGTTGCTCTGATAGTCGTCTTCAGCTCCTCTGCATTGTTGGGTCTAGCGTATTGCATCCTCCGCTTCACAATACCCCATAGATTTTCTATGGGGTTAAGGTCAGGCGAGTTTGCTGGCCAATCAAGGACAGGGATACCATGGTCCTTGAACCAGGTGCTGGTGGTTTTGGCACTGTGTGCAGGTGCCAAGTCCTGTTGAAAGGTGAAGTCTGCATCCCCATAAAGTTGGTCAGCAGCAGGAAGCATGAAGTGCTCTAAAACTTCCTGGTAGACGGCTGCATTGACCCTGGACCTCAGGAAACAGAGTGGGCCAACACCGGCAGATGACATGGCACCCCACACCATCACTGACGGTGGAAACTTTACACTGGACCTCATGCAACGTGGATTCTGTGCTTCTCCGCTCTTCCTCCAGACTCTGGGTCCTTGATTTCCAAAGGAAATGCAGAACTTGCTTTCATCAGAAAACATAACTTTGGACCACTCAGCATCAGTCCAGTCCTTTTTGTCCTTGGCCCAGGCGAGACGCTTCTTGCGCTGTTTCTTGTTCAAGAGTGGCTTGACACACGGAATGCGACACCTGAATCCCATGTCTTTCATGAGTCTCCTCGTGGTGGTTCTTGAAGCGCTGACTCCAGCTGCAGTCCACTCTTTGTGGATCTCCCCCACATTTTTTAATGGGTTTGTCGTCACAATTCTCTGCAGGGTGCGGTTATCCCTAGAGCTTGTACACTTTTTTCTACCACATTTTTTCCGTCCCTTCGCCTGTCTGTTAATGTGCTTGGACACAGAGCTCTGCGAACAGCCAGCTTCTTTAGCAATCACCTTTTGTGTCTTGCCCTCCTTGTGCAAGGTGTCAATGATTGTCTTTTGGACAGCTGTTAAGTCAGAAGTCTTCCCCATGATTGTGGTGCCTTCAAAACAAGACTGAGGGACCTTTTAAAGGCCTTTGCAGGTGTTTTGAGTAAATCAGCTGATTAGAGTGGCAGCAGGTGTCTTCTATATTCAGCCTTTTCAGAATATTCTAATTTTTTGAGATACCAAATTTGGAGTTTTCATTAGTTGTCACTTATGAATATCTAATTTAAATGTAATGAACATTGGAAATACATTGGTCTGTGTGCATTGCATGAATATAATGTACAAGTTTCACGTTTTGAATGGAATTACTGAAATATTTTCAACCTTTTGATGATATTCTAATTTACTGGCCAGCACCTGTATGACCTTTGGTCTTTTGGCTGTATGGGCAATAAAGTTTTTGTATGTGTGAGTTTGTGTTTGTCTCAAGGACCAAACTCCGCCTGCCATAAGTGACAAAAGTTGCAGTTCCCCCTTTATCCACCAGGGGCTGGATCCAGAAAGGTGCATGTTTTAATTGATTTCCATGGTAAAAATGCAAATTTCTCAGCAGAAATAAACATGTTTACATCCTGGTACAAAAGAACATTTTTGGATTAATAGGTCTCGTTTACCTTCATCTCAACTGTGAGGGGGTCAATTGTTGTGTAACTCATCAAATTAGATGTAGGTGAAGCTTGAAATTATGAAAAATTAGGGGTGTCTTTATTTGATTGTGAGGTAGCAGATGAGCCATCAGCACTAATGACTTGCCTCCTGCTTGCTCCAGGGAAGGCCTCAGCCTCGGCCTCATCTTAAAAGTATCACTATCTGGAAAGAAGAAAGTAGCCAAGTTGCTCAATCGTAGTTTTCTGGCTAAAATCTCCATTAGCTTCTGTTAGCTCAGTTAGCTCATAGCTACATCTGCTCAGAGATTGGTCAGTGTCAATCATCTTTCTCCACCCTCACAGCCCCATATCCATTTCTCTATTTTCCGGGAGTGGCATGACACGGCCAAGATGGCGGTGGTGAGAACTGCCCACTGCGCTTCGATTAGGTTTATCTGAAATAAGGCCATGGGTGACAGTGTGGAAGGTTTGCTTATTATTTATACCGTCATTGGTTTGCCAGAGTTAAATATCTCATGAGCCACTGAACAGATTTTACTCAAACCTTCACAAACGTAATAAAGAGAAAGATGGAAGCATGTATCCACTCGTGTTTGACTTCCTGTCTGCCCCAGTCTGAACTGCTAAGCTTGACGTGTTCTGGAGACAACTTGAAACGTAGATTTAATGGAGCGCCCTTAAATGCGTCAGTTACGTAGGTTCTTGCAATGACGTAGTTTTTTGGGTGGGGACAGAGGGTAAATTTTTGTCCCCTGCACTTTTTACTGTCAAAGTAGGACATTAAGCTTTATTAAATAGACATTGGTTGAGCACTAGGACCAAGCAGAAAACAACTGCTTGTGTTGAAGCCTGTTTCCATTACATATTTTTTGTATACTTACTGTAGCGCTCGCTCGTGTCCTCTGGTAATGTGGGTTGCCAGATCCAGTGGAAGCAGATCCAAGAAAGATACCCTAGGGAAGGGGTGAGTGTTCCGTGACCACGCTTCCATTCAAAACTTAGGATGTATTTGCATCTTCCTCAGTAGTGCATGGCGGACTGCCTTGCTGATGGACATAGTGAGTACATCACATTGTTCGTTGTCCAAAAGCATGCAGAGGCAGTTTGAAAGACAACCGTAGATTCCGCTCTACGACTGAGTTTTGTCTATGGGTCGTGGCCAGACAATGTTTTCACATATAAAGGATGGCTTGACAGGTTAGTTGTCTTCTACAATGAGCTGATAACTGAGAATTCCCAAATCTCCTCTTTGTTTGGGATTTTTTTGAAGTAATCCCTTTTGGTGGTGTTTATTTTCACTTTCGTCCGGATAACAGGCCAAACCGTATAAAATACCTTCAAAATGTGGGATACCTTGCTACAAATGCCTATGGTCTCAGATCTTTTGCTGCTTTTTTCCAACACTAAAAACCTACTTGTAAACAACTGAATGTAAAATAATTGTTTGCATTTAGTCTTTTTTAAGATTTAGCCAGACTGGTATCAGAACAACTGAATGTAAAATAATTGTTTGCATTTAGTCTTTTTTAAGATTTAGCCAGACTGGTATCAGTGCAGCTGTAGGGTTGATCTCTGACACTGAAGTTTACCTTCACATCAAACCTTTGACTGAAAGATGGACATATCAGGTCAGTAGTGGTCATGCTGGTGCCATCTTGGATCCAGGCAGTGTTCCATTACCAGGCAGGTGAGTTTGATTTGAAGTGAAGCATTGTGTCATTCCTGATACCTTAGAGGAGGAAGAAACGCAGGTCAAGTGTTGCTGCCCGCCCACCTGACTTGGAGAATTGCCACCAAATGTATTATACCTGTAATTATTACAAATTTCCCCTTTGGTCTTATTTTAATAGTTGGAGTTGAAACAATCAAAAAAAAATGTTTTTTCTGTTTCTTATATTTAAACTGAATGAGCTGCTTAAACTATCCACTTTGTTGACTTTACTCCTCCGTAATGGCTGTTTTACACAAATCCTGCTTGAATGAGTTAAACCAGTTGCTGAAAACTGCATACGACTTAAAGCTGAACTGTCATTATCAGCTGAGCCATATTGGCAATCTGAAGTATGGCAGAAACTGTTTTTTAAAACATAAATTTAATATTAAGAAGCAAAAATAATGATTTTAAAAAAAGTTCAGGTAGCAAAAAACCTCGTGACTCGTAATTTGACGTAACACATGATGCATACGAACACCTGCATTTAGGTGTATTAACAAACTGTAAATGGTGGCATATAGAATGTACACCACGAGGAATTAGAATTTTTTTAAAGGTATATTATTTGACTTTTTATTATTATTAGTCATGCCATCGTTAAATAGCTTGAAACTGTAAAGCTGCCTTAGCGAATCTACAGAACAAGCTAGGTCTTGAACACAGACATGATCACAGAACACTCACCCCTCTGGTATCTTTCCTGAGACACCTCTGCTGGAACCGGAAACCCGCAATGCTAGAGGAAACGAGAGAGCGCTAAACACCAGTGACTGTTCTCTAGGTCCGAATGTCTGTCTGTGACTTCAAATGGTGTTTTGCTTTTTGGGACTCTGGTAGTTTCTAAAGTTTAAGTGGTAGCAGCCGGCTGTTTCTCCTCTGATATTGTTGAGCTGTTAACCTCTCACACCATGATGTTCTGTTGCTAAATACACGAGTGGGTAATGAATGGAAGACCCGGGGAAGTATGGCCCTTCTACGAGACAACCGATCCAATGTTTGCTTTTGGTCCAAAACGTGTTATTGGAAGAGATTTTTAGAAAAATGTGAGAGAACCACTTTAATAATATCATTTTATCTCCCTACAATATATTCATAGCTATACGTCTATTAAAACATTGATTCTCCCCCCTTATTTTTCCTTTTTTTCTCCATTAGAACATTATTAAGAGGCATGAAAAAATTGTTTTAAGCTCATGTTTCCAAATTTGCTATTGCAGCTGTAGCTGTGGGTCAACGTTTGTGCATCTAAAAACAGATATAAATAGTTCAAAGAAAAAATTGAATATATTACATTACCATAACTAAATTAAATGTAAGCCACTATGTTTGTTGAGTCTTTTTGAAACAGGCTCCTACAATTATTTAAAATTAAACAAGTTAACATTTTAAACGCACCTAGAAACACTTTTTGAGTTTTTTATTATTATTTTTTTTCGGTTCAGCACAGAAAAATCTAATCATTCATGTATTTTAAATTAATCCAATATTTAAAGAAAAATAATCTTAATTAAAAAAATTCCACTCCATGATTTCAACATTTAAATGATGTAGAAAATGCCATAGTCTTAAGGTTTATGTTTCTTTTTTATTAAAAATCAGGAGAATACAAATTTCAGTTTTACTTAATGCACTACACATCAAATCAGTTGAACTGTAATTATGAAGAGCAAAGACGACACACTTCTAACGAAGCCAAACTTCAAAGCACCACCAGAACAAAAGCCTTTTTAATTGTTTCTTTCACTTTTTTCTGTCACCTTTGACAGAACTGACTTGTTTGTAGGCAAGCACAACATGGTGTGAGTTCCAGAGTGAAGCAGGAAGCATGTAATAAATCATACTGTGTACAAAAATACAACCTCACTGTACAAATGGTGCACTGCACAAAGTGAACGTGACTTTTCTCCACCAGTGAATGACACTTTGAAAAAACTGAAACATTCTAATCTACGTGTATTCATGCAGAAGTGAGATTTGGGACACTTTGGAAAAGTTTTGTCATTAATGGAAGAGAAAGAGATATATAAATAAGTCAAATCAATGCAACACTAAACAGATTAATGCAGGTCATTTGCATAAGGAGAATTTGAAACTTGGTTAAACTTTTTTGGGGGGTTTAATAGAGTAAATTTCCAAGGTAACAGTAACACACCTGAGTAAAAAAAAACTTCAACACTGCAGACTTTCATTAAGGATCCTAAATCACACTTACAAGGTAAATATTTTAGGTCAGCAGCAATTTTTTTTGGTTTTTACAGTCACTGATAAATGCAGAAAACAGAATTTTATACCTAAATAGCTGCAGCTTTTCATTAATCATCACTAATTTAAAGTTCTTCATTATTCAATAAAAATGCAGCCATCTCAAAGCCATCAACGCTAAAAGTCTAGATTAAGAAAATAATCCATAAATGTCTGATCAGTTGATCACTCATGCAATAATAGCAAGTGTGCACAGCAATAGTAAGCTGTCTGGAAATCTCTCGTGCAACATAAAACAAAAAGTTTCATGCATTTTTTCCATGAACAATCCATGATTATTTCCAATTTTTCCACAGAAAGAGCAGAAACACATCCGATCAAAGTGTGCCAAGGATGATTCGCAGGAAGCGGAGAACAAAAAAGAAAATGTTCTGTTTTTGAAGTCATTCATGAATGAAGTTCACTAAAAAGAAAGGCTGAGCAAAGAATTTTCACCTCTTACGAAACACGATTTAAACCGAAGCCACAAACTCCAAACGGGTCATCTACAGCAGCCGACGCAGCAGCCTCCTTCACCATCCATCATGCATCAAGGGAACACAACTACAGAAAAAAAAATCACCAGAAAACTTAAGTAAACCAAGATTAAATAAATAAATAAATATATAAATAAGTTAGTAAATATCTCATGTACATGTCGAGTTGTTCCACGTGGCACAGAGCGCAGCAGCCTAATAAAAACAAAAATAAATACAAACAGGAAATAGAACAGAAGTGGACTTCCAGAAATAACTCGAGTATTTTTGGAGCTAAACTACCCATCGAAGATCAAAGAGTGAGTCCTAAATGCAGCTCGTTTTGGATTCAACGAGGACCTCTCAGTGACGTCTTCATGCTGCAGGCAACACAAACCGAACCTACAGTGTGCTACTGGGGCTTCTGGGCCAGGGGAGAAAAACAGGCGTCAAAGTCCCTGTTCTCAAACGGACCGGGTCTTGAATAACTTCGCCTCTGCATGGGTGTGAGATCCAAATGTTTCCAGGATGTGGCGTTTCAGTCCTTGCTCTCAGTGCGTGTTCGTCTGAGGATGGATGAGAAGAAGCTCCGACCTTGTGGCTGCCCCATCAGCATGGAAGCCTGGTTTTTGTGGACGATCTGAGTCTGAGATCAGAGATGAACGTACAAGGTTATCGTTTCAGTTTGAGAGTGCCTCATATTGACTTTGATGCTTCAAAAGCAAAATTTTAAAAACACATTAAAGATGCTCCTGCAAGGCAAGATCATTATGCTGATTTTTGACCCGATCCTCATCCTCTGACAATTTTAAGGATGTATCTGATTACCATGACTGTAAAGATAATCTTATCAGATATTCCTCCCATGTGTGATGTGTTAAGAGCACTCTGGAAGCCTTTTGGAACTGCTTGGATTATAAATCTAGGCTTTCAAACCTGGATTCAAGGATTCAAAAGGTTTATTTGTCACATTCTCAGTCATACTGGTACAAACTGCTATGAAATGTAAAGCCTGATTTGTACTTCTCTGCCTGCATGGGTGCGGAGACACACAACACCATTATGTTTCAGTGCAAGGGCTCTCTGACAGGCTCGCTGAGGCCGACAGAGACATGACCAACTTTTTCACTGTCCATCAAAAGTGACGGAAAGCGCAAACTTGTGATTGGTCAGGATGCTACATCCTTTAAAGAGACAATGTGTAGTTTTTATTGTTAATCTCTGGAAATATCCATCGAAATGTTGTTGAAAATTAATTAAATGATGCCCAGTTGTTGAAAAATTCTCATGGCTTCGTAACATATAACCAAAGAAATCAGGTCTAAAAAAATACATGGGAGCTGGTCTAAAGCCTGGGGCACACCGGAGCCGGACACTTCGCGCCTGAGATTTTGAGGAAACAAGTGGTCAGACAGGACACGCCACACCCTGAGCGCTTCTTGGAAAGTCGCCCGATAGTCACAACATCAAGCAGGACTTCAGAACAAAAGGCAGGAAATGACTCTATTGTTTATACGTGATCAGACTTGCTGTCATGTTTTGTGAAACTCTAATTCATTAACAGTGAGTAAGTACGCTTAGTATTAGAATATTTTAAGATCAATAGTACTTTAAAGTCATCGTTAAAATTATTGTGCCGTTGGTTGAGTTTGTGCCGTAAAGCCGTTTCGTGTCATAATGTCTGTTGTAAAGTACACCACAATGTTGTACACAGCCACGTCGTGATGCTTGAGATAGAACTGGTGCCTATCTTCAGCACCTAGGTGCGACGCTTCTGGGACATGGCCCTCCCCGTGTGCCCACTCTCATAAACTATAATGGCTTCTATTTCAAATGAAGGCGTGGCGCGTCTGCCTCCGGTGTGCCCCAGGCTTAAGTCTCTGGTAGACGCCATATTAGATGCCATGTTTCCTTCTACAGGAGCCCATGAGGACAAAATGCATTTACTAATTTGTAACCAACGGTTACAAAACTTTCACCATTCATAAACGTTGTTGTATTACTCATTTACCTCTACCAGTAATGGAAGGAAGTCTGATGTGCGTGTCATTTCGCTGAAGTTTGCACTGCCCAGGGCTTTTTGACCCTAATGGACTTCTGTTGGTAAGGTCTTACTCCAACACAAAAATACTACTTGCTTGCAAGGATTTAGGTATCTTCTGCCCCCTATTGTCAGGAAAAATACACACTGTCACCTTAACTTTGTCAACTGCACCGCCATTGCCCCCATCAAAAAATATATATTAAAAGATAGCCGAAGACATCTAGTGTCAAACAAGGCAGATTGAAAAACATCTTGTGGAAAAAGTCTGAAAATATGAAAGTTTTTTCACTCGCGACTGAAGGAGTGCAAAGATATGCAACAAGTGTTTTATTCAAGAATGAAAATGATAAGAAACGTGTGTTTATAGTTGGTGACCGCATGAAAAGGTGGAGGACAATGAGGGACAGCTGGCAATTGCTAATTACGTGACTGCGTAATGAATGGAGGACGAGTGGAAGTGCTGTGGTTTGATGAGATCATCAACCGAGTGGTCCAATAAGGGCTGGGCAATAAATCGACAATGTATCATTATCAAAATTTCTCACTCTTATGATAATCTTTCCCATGTCAATAAATTAGATAATAAAAGACGTGTGTAGGTTGGCAACGTTCATGTCCCTTTAAGAAGCTGTACCACCTTGAGTCACATAAAAATGTGATTCAACTTAATACACGTAACAGCCCCATCTAGTGGACAACTTTCGTTTCTGCACATGTAGTTTTCGTCCTTTTATTGTTATCGAGGTGAAATCCTCAATATATCGTGATATTGATTTAAGGCCATATCGCCCAGTCCTATAGGTCCAATAGTTGCTTTCGGTCCAAAACGTGTTAGCAATCGAGGTTTATAGACAAATATGAAAGAACCACCCAACTATTTATCTGGGATTTGTTTATTTATCTCCACAATATATTTACAGCTATACTGTGTTAGAACGTTGTTAAAGAGGCATAAACAACTCTTTTAAGCTAATTTGATTTCCAAATTTGCCATTGTAGCTTTAAAGATGAATACACGGTTTAATTCTTTGAAAAACTAAAAACAAAAATCTCCGTCAACTAAAACTGACTAAAACACTTTTGGAATGTATTCTGCTAAAATGGACTAAAAGTAAAGCTAATTTTCATTCAGAAGACTTAGACTAAAACTAAGATGCAGTAGCTCAGGAGGTAGAGCGGGTTGTCCAGTAATCAGAAGGCTGCAGGTTCGATTTCGGCTCCAACCAGAGAATGCTGCTGTTGTGTCCTTGGGTAAGACACTTAACACAACTTGACTGCTGGTGGTGTTCGGGTGGACCAGTGGCGCCAGCATTCGGCAGCCTCGCCTTTGTCAGTGCGTCCCAGGGCAGCTGTGGCTACATCGTAGCTCATCCCCACCAGCGTGTGAATGGGTGAATGACTCATTGTATTGTAAAGCACTTTGGGGGGTTGTAGAACCCTAAGAAGGTGCTATGCATATACAGGCCATTTACCATTGTTCCAAAAAATATTACTTTTTTAGGGGTTTTTGAAAGGTCACTGAGGGGTCAATGATTCAGATTCACCTTTAATTCTAAATTAAATTTATCACAGTAACATAACATTTTGGTCAACAATTCATTAAACTCAGTGCCACTGAGACAGAATTTGATTCGGGAATTCAGCAACAACAGAAAATGCTGGCTTATAAATGTATCTTTGAAAGTCTTTAATGTAGACAAAGTTTCGGAATCCCTGGGGTCTATGACTCTATAACAACTGTTATAACCTATTAAGAACAACTACAATAAAGTTTTCTTTTGGCATCTAACAAAGATCAGAGATTATGCCTGTTTTTAGAGTCTGATTGAGAATGAGCGGATCATTAAACTGTCGCTTCAAGAGTCTCACAACACTAACGGGGAGACACCATCTGCATTCAAAGGACTCTTCAAAGCAAAGCTGCCATTTATTAAATTTGCACTCTGACTCTGTGGCAATTACCAGCTTTTGTTGACTTTCTACCATCGCAGGAAAATAAAGTAACATTTTCTGATGCGCACTCTCAAAGAAAACACTGTAACCTTTCTGGGAAAACTCAAAAGAAGATCCGAAGAATGCCCCAAATAAGATGTTTAAACAATGCATTATTATTATTACTCTTGTTGTGACTTGTTTCAAAATAAAGTGGCTTTTGGAAATTAGAACAAATGCAATTTTTTTTTCTTTTTTTAGAATCGCATGCTTTTTTGTATTTGCAACAGTGCAGAGCCAGTTACAGTCGGGGATGCATGTGAAGATAAGATGCAAATAGGCTGATGGTGTAAATAAGTTTTGCATGCAGAGTCGTTGTTGTTATTAATTACAGGAATGACATCCCGTCTGAACTGAGATGTTCCTATTAGTATTTACCAGGTTGACTAAGTTGGCTCTGACTTACAATGTGCCAGCTGCTGTTTGTGCTGCTTTGTTTTTATTTTGAACTTGACTTGTTTCTTTGCTGTGGCCAAATCAACTAATAATACCTTTATCTGTCCCTTAGTGGGGAAATTATTACTGCAACAGCTTAACTACAGAGGATAGCAGCAGTAGCACACAAAAGACATAGCACCAGATTATAATTGTAAATTAAGACAATCAAGATAATTATTGCACATGACAATATTAGTAGTAATATTGCACATGTCGGCGATGATATTTGTAGTGGAATGTTACAGATGTATGGGTTCCACATTAGCAGTGACCATTATAGAGTCTAACAGCAGCAGGAAGGAAAGACCTGTGGTATCTCTCCTTCACACAGCAAGGATGGATCAGTCTGTCTCTGAAGCTGCTCTGCAGAGCAGACAGGGCGTCCTGCAGGAGGTGTGAATCATGATCCAGCATTGATCTGAGTTTTGCCAGCACCCTCTCGTCCCCCACCTCTCGTACGGAGTCCAGAGGACTCACTTTCCCACATGAAACTGCAGCAACCAACCTGTACCTGGACCTTGTCCTTTGGTCCAGGTCCTGCCAGCATGTCTTCATAGTTGAAATGACATACATCAGGAGGCATTCAAGCAGAAGAGGCTGCGGTATGAAAGCCTAGCAGCTGAAGCGGAGGGGAGGGGATGGAATGTGAAGGCATGGCCAGTGAAGGTGGGATGCAGAGGTTTTGTAGCCAGTTTTGAGGGAAGTAGGGATCAGAGGCCATGCCCAAGGGAGGGCAATCAAAGAACTTTCCACTGCAGCTGAACAGAGTAGTCACTGGTTGTGGCTGAAACGTAGGTATGCAATTTGGGCTACCAAATGATGGTGTGGTGCTTCCGTGCGACATACACCCAGGTCTGATCAAAAAGGGGCAGGCCAACCTCGGAAGAGGGTGACTTGGGATAAGTGGCCAAAACACCCAGTGAGGTCAGGACACACAACTGAAGATGTGTCGCACTGAGTTCTGCACAAAATCCGGCTAAGCTCACTCCGAAGAATAACAGTGTCATTCGATTGTTGTGCTGAAAGTTAGGGATCTTTAACTGCAGTCCTAGTAAGATTCTTGCATAAAGGACTTGTGAAACTGTCCAAGACTCAAAAATCTCTGTAAAAATAAACAAAAGGCTTTTAGCACAAAAAGGCTTTTGGTTCCAGTTCATGTGAAGTTCTCCTAGTTGTCATATGAACCTATGAACTGCCTAATTTCTGCGTTTATTTGTAAGTGAGAGCATTTTGTCTGCAGCACTGCTCTAAATCAGATTGAGACAGAAAGCCTGAAGTCTGGATTCTACAGCAATAAATGCAATTTTAGTCAACAGTTTTAGGAATATTCATCATGAAACTTACTGAAGAAAAAACTTAAAATGTCAAGATTTTCATTAGGCACTCACTTTTCCACAGGCTTGTGGAAAAAAGCTTTGGAAGTAGGAGTTAGCCGTATGACGTCACATGGAAAGTGCCAGGATTTGGAGTCTTATTTCCTTATATTTCGACATCTCTCCATTGATTGGCTAACAACAACGTGACTCTACCGTAGACTGTTTACTCTGCAACGTTGATGTTTTATCTCCACAAAAAACACGAGCCTGAAGGAATTCTTGTGGTGCGGTTGCTAATGCTAACGGTTAGCTTCAACTAGCCGAGATGCGCTCTGCTCTCTCCTGGAGGCTAAATTAACAGCCTTCAGATGAAGGCTAACTTTCAGTGTAACATTGATCAGACAGGCTTTTTCTAATCCAAACATTTTACTGTTTTTACCGGCGACTAATGCAGGAAATAAGGATTAAATATTATTTCACGGTTAGCCTGCATGTTAAACTCAGAGCGACTGATCATATGTCAAAAACATCTAGGAAGAATCAGTTTCTCAGTGAACTTGCTCTTTCAAAAAAGATTTTTGACGTTTTTTATCCACGATCCAACCAACATGACTATATCTGTGTGTTAACCTTTTGGCCGACTGACTGCTGTGCGTTTCACTCACAGTGAATACATTTAATGACTTACCGTGCACGGAGTCTGCATCCAGGGCTCACCATCAATCTGCATCGGGAGGGATTTAGAGGTTCTGCAGGTGATAAACAAGAAAACCTGTAACTCCACTGATTCCTGCTCCATATTGGTTGGAAAACATTTCTCTTATTTAATTTGAGTGGAAGTTTCTGTGTTAAAATCTGACCTGATGGTCACAGAGGAGCACTGAGCCAACCGTCTCCCTGCGCTCTTCAGACCAGTGTAGATCTGGCCCATCTCCATGGCTCCTTCCAGCCCCACCACCTCCAGAAGCTGGTCAGACAGATCTATCACAGTGCAAATGAATAAAAAATACTCAACTTTAGGTCATTTCTATCAACATGCTAACTATGTCATACAGGTTAATTTCAAATTGTTTGATTCTATTTAAAAAAAGATAATTTGTTACTGAAAAAAACAAAAAAGACCCACTGATTTTCTCTTGTTGTTTATTATACTAAAGTGGTTTAAAAAATAAAATTTCAACGTACAACAAGCTAGAAAAGAAATAAAAATAAATAGAAATAAAAAACAGGAAGTGATAAATGAGACTTCAGTCATGTTGCACACTTCAGACTTCTGCTCCTGAAACATTTAATCTTCACGGTTGAAAAGAAAAGCAACAAGCTATAAACAAATCAGCAATTAATTAGATTGCACCGGCAATGCAAAGCAATCTTGTGATAATATAATTATTAATTCCTCTTGTGTTTTTCAGTTATGAGCATTGATTTTGGCCCTGCTGGAAGCCCAGAGTCACGCAGGGCCCATCTGTTTCAGCCGCTCGCTCTGACTCCCTCTCTCTCACGACTCGTCCCTCTGCAGATTAAGAATCTTCTGCTGCACCGCCGGGAGTATTCCGACACTAATTGAAAACACACCCGTCTTTAGAAGCGTGAGGGTTTGTCAGCTGACGTTGTGCAGCTCCGCGGCTGTCGTGTTCACGGGAGTCGTGTTGGCTTCATGAAGGAGTGTCGCGAGTGACCCTGCTGTTGTTGGCGGGCTCTGGTGTCCAGCTGTCTCCTTAGTGATGGACATGCGTCTGCCCCTATCTAAGTGCACGACTGTGAGTGTGGAGCTTTCCAGGGTCAAAGGTCAAAGTAAGAGAGTTTGCATGGATGCGAGTTGACCTCCTGCACTGAGATTTAGAGCTGTTTGTGACTTCTCATGTTGATGCAAACTGCCGAGGCTCTCCCATGCTGACGCGAGTGATGGACAGCATCACCCTGCTGATAAGGATTCCTCACTGCTTGTGTTAGAAAAATCATCTTTACCCTTAAAAGTTTACTGAGACAAAAAGCAGAAAGATTTCTGATCCAGAACAACTGCAGGATGTTGAAAAAGCCAACAATGTACTGGTTTAGATAAATGATAAATGACCCGCACTTGTATAGCGCCTCTCAGAGTACGGACTCCAAAGTGCTTTACACCACAGTGTATCATTCATCCATTCACACACACATTCACACACTGATGGTGATGAGCTACAATCTAGCCATAGCAACCCTGGGGCTCACTGACGGAGGCGAGGCTGCCGAGCACAGGCGCCACCGGTCCCTCCGACCACCACCAGCAGGCAAGGTGGGTTAAGTGTCTTGCCCAAGGACACAACAGCAGAATTCTCTGTCCGGAGCTGGGATCGAACCTGCAACCTTCCGATTACAGGACAACCCGCTCAACATGTTGAGCTACTGCTGCCCCGGATGATTTTCGTTATCAGGGATCGTTTCGCAGCAACTTTTATCCTTTAAAGTACAAAAAGTAAAAAGGACAGTCATGCATGCTGCTGAGAAAGATGCTACAAGAAGGGAAATAACCATCAGCATTGGAGTAAGTGACATGTCCTGCATTGAGGTAACCATGGAAACAGTAACTAAACTTCATCTACATGATGCAGGAGCATGTTGTCACCCACAGAAAATGCTTGTTTGAGAACAGCATCATGAATAGTTGATTTTGTGCAAATTGTTACGGTTTAAAGCAAACACCTAAAATCAAAATGAGAAATGTCAAAATAATGTCTGTGACCAGTTCATCGATGAGGAGAAGGAACGTCCTTCTTTTACAGCTTTTGAAGGAAGTCGGCACAGTTCAAGCAGAACTGAGGTATTTTTTAAATAATGTTTTTTCTGTGATCAAAAGCTGCAAAATGTGGAGACAACTGATCGAGATCGGGCCTAAAGCATACAAAATCAACAGTTATTTTTTCTTCATCAAAAACATCCAAAAAGCAGTTTTTAGCTTTATAAATGAATGCATCCTGTTGTCTCAGTTGAATATCCTCTGCTGGGCTGCCCATGCTGTTGTGTCTTCCTGCCCTGTCCCTCCCATCCAGCCTAAACAGCACGCTCGTACCCTGGACTGTATACACTAATGCCCAACCTCTCCTTTTCGCGAGCAGCGAGCAGGTGATTTAATCTCTGCACTTTAGAATTGATTCTCTTTATTAAGATTCTTAGAACCTGAAAATGTGTGCTCCAGATGACCAGTTTGCCGCTGGCCGTGTGTGTTGCCAAAGCTGCTTTCTTTGTTTTCTTCTTGGTCTGTGATGCTTTGCTGAGGAGCTAGGGTTACGTCATGACATGGTGGAATTCACATGGGTGGGGTGGGGTTTATTCGAATCAAAGCAAATAAATTCTGGGTTGATGAAATGTTTCAGGAATGCAAGAATCTTTGGTGTGGGTGAGTTTTGCATTGTGTAGTACACAAGGGGTAAGCGATGAACACCTCACGACAAACTCAAGAAAGTGTGCTTGTTGTGTTCTTCTATCGCCTTCAACCTACGTAAACCTCTGCATGTCCACCTACAACTACGGCAAGCCTGAAGGACAACAGACATCAATAACAGCAATAACCTCCGGGTCTTCTGGGTTTTCAGACTCGAGTGTCTGATTTGTTAACATGAGTAGTTTTAGCATGTATTTAGGTTTGATGTTCTGCTACCACATGTTTGAGATGGAGCTGAATGCTACGGGTGAAAAAGTCACACGGTGTACGACTTACAGCTTACAATAGCATGATGTAGAACCTTTAAAGCTGAACTTATTTTATTTTGAAAACAGGCAAGTTAGTTATTGATTGGTTGATTCCAGTTTTACGGAACATGATGGGCTTTCCACTGTGCTTTCCAACCCAATTACCTCCCTCCCCTGTCCAAATGGAGGTGGCGAGCACTGATATGAGGAGAGTCCCCAACCCACCACCCCACCTAGTGGACACTTATGTTGTGTGATGTCTGAAGTCTGTTGCATTTCTGTCTGAGGTGTTTTTTGCATAGCAAAGCTGCTCTCCCTGTGGAGGGTAACTCTGAAGTGCCTTTTTTTCCTCCACTTGACTCAGTCCTCATGTAAACCCTCTGATCTCAATTAAGGTAGCGCGACTCGGGTTGCGAATGACCACAGTCACCAGTTCTTGTCATGTGTCTTTGTATGTATGTATGTCTGATCTCAGAATTGTATGTACTGAAACTCTAATTTCCCTCTGGGATTAATAAATTATCTTTGAATTGAATTGAATTGAATTGAATTGAATTGAATGTAGACCCATCATGGTACTTTAAATATAGCTAAATTTAAAAGAACGTTACACATTTTTACTAACACACATGTTATGATGGTTCATCAAATTACTTCCAAAACAATTCAGGTGAAACTTGAAAAATTCACCGGCCCATTTATTTCAGTAACTCAGCTTAGACTGAAAGACCGTCTAAAATCAGTGACCTTATGCAGGTGTGTTGGATTCATTAGCTGATTAGAGTGTGACACTGAGTCTAATTTTAATATGGTTTTAATTGTGTAAACTTTGTCTTGTATATTTATATGATGTTTGCTGCAGGACTCCCTTGAAAAAGAGGTTTTGAATCTCAATAGGCTTTTTTCCTGGGTATATAAAGGTTAAATAAATAATAAATTAATTTAAAAAATTGAACCTTTTCACATAAGCTGTAAACCAGGGGTCCTCAATTATAATGGTCCGAGGGCCACTCACAAAAAAGACCCGGGGGGGGGGGGGGGGGGGGGGGGGGGCTGCTGTTTGGATCGCTGGCTGTAATGCACATAACTCACAAGCTTGCAATATAAAGAAGGACAACACCTCTCCCCCTCCAGCTCGGCTGTGTGACTGCACTAACTTGTTCTGTGGGACCCTCACCATGTAACCCTCATGTCCATGCTGTCTCTGGAGGAGCAGATAGGAGACAAGATCTCCTGTAACTTAAAATGAAACAAAGCTTCCTCCCAGTTTCTCTTTAAGCTGAATTTAACATCAGTTTATGGTAAATGGCCTGTATTTGATATAGTGCCTTCTAGAGTCCTGGAACCCCCCAAGGCGCTTTACATCACAACCAGTCATCACTCATTCACACACACATTCACACACTGGTGGGAATTGTCATGTTCTGCGGATGGAGGTGGCAGACCATGTGTGGTGGTGGGTTCCCGGAGGCAGAAGATCAGGCAGACGGACGTAAAAAAATAAAAAGATGTTTATTGTATGACGGGTGCGACAGGACGAACGAACAGGTACAACGACAATGAACCGACAAAGACAACAACCAGGAGGGAGGTTTAAATACACAAGGGAATCAGGAACGCATGGGCAGAGTAATCAGGGACAGGTGAGAACAATTAGGCAAATCAGGGCAGGAGAGACACAGTCAGGGAGGCTGGGGCGGATCATTACAGTACCCCCCCCCCCACCCCCCACCCCCCTGCCCCTCAAGGGGCGGATACCAGACGCCCACAAGCCACAAAACACAGGAGACACGGGCACGAACGAAGACCAGACCAGGGCACACACGACAAGGGAACACAGAAGACGAGACCAGGGAACAAGGAACACCATCCAGGGCTGCGGAGCAGGGGCCTCTCGGTTCAGGCGGCACTCCGTCTTACGACCAAACAGACATGTCCAAGAACTTAGACCAGGGAAACTCGGACCAGAAGACTTGGGACTCAAGGACTGGGCACAGGGACTCGATGACTTGGACTTGACACGATGACTTGGACTTGACACGATGACTTGACACGATAACTTGACACACTGACTTGACTTGACACGATGACTTGAGTAGACTTGACACGACACGTAGACTTGAGTAGACTTGACTTGACTTGACACGTAGACTTGAGTAGACTTGACTTGACACGAACACTTGACTCCAGGAATACAGGACACCAGGAACACAGAGACGAACTGCAGCAGCAGGCGTGGGACCCAGCAGGAACTGCTGCGTGGAGAACCTGCAGGCGTGGACCAGGAAGTGGTTGAGTAGCGGGAGCGACGC